TGGTGACTCGCAGCCCCGCCTGCTCCCTGCGCGCTCGCTCGGCTCCACTCGGAGCCGGCACCAGCCGACGCTCCCGGGGCCGCGGCGCTCGGCCCGGCCCGCGGGCACCAGCCGGCGCAAACCCCGCTCCCTCCCAGGGTCCCCGGGCCTTTCGCTGGCAGGCCCAGCCTCTCGTTAGGCCTCTGTCTCCCAGTGGCCGGTGGGCATGCTACACAGACCCGTCTCAGATCCGGGCCAGTCTCCTGTAATACGTGCGCTCTTCTCACTTTTGAGACTCAGCTCAACTCTCACCCCATTTTAAGCCTTGCCTGACGTCTTCGAGCAAAATGAGCCATTCTTTGTGTCCCTAATTCTGTTGGCACCTCTATTTCAGTAGTTGTTAAGTGCACTGTATATATTTTTCTGTCCCCACCAAAAGGCTGGCTCCTGGAGGGAAGAACTGGGTGGTTTTTCTTTGTATCCTCTCTGCCTCTCGCAGTGTCCAGCGGCCAGGCCAGTAGGAGCCCAGTGGTCGCTGAGAGACAGACGGAATGTCTGAGCAATGCGCATCACCTCTACTCGTTTTAACTATTCTGCAAAGCTGTAAGAATTTTTAATGCTTAGAACCAGCATAAAGACCAGAGCCAGGATTTTCTGCCTAAAAACAAATGTCATCCTTTCCAAGTACTTACAATGAATATTAAAAGCACGATCCAAAATCTTATACAGGATCATCATAAATATTTGCAAAAAGCATTTTAAAAATAGGGCAGAAATACATGAAAATCGTTCTTAAATTTTTTTGTTTAGGGTTTTTTGGGGGGTAGGGAGGAGGGCTCTACTGAGGTAGTGTTCTTCAGTTGGCCAACATGAATGTTAGGTTACAGCAATGGCAAGTGCTGTTTTATTTTCTGAATGTATCCTGTTATGAGTTAAACATGTATCCTACAATATTGTTTACATCTTTTGTTGTTTTGGCAAATTTTCCTCCACCTATGGATCAATGGTGAGTTCAAAGCAGCTCCTGTCTAAATGATTACAAATTCTTACTTAGAGTTGAAAGAAAAGCATTGTTCCAGGTGTGCTCCAAAAACTACTGTGATCACCGAAACCTTAAAATCTTATGTGGTGGGTCACAAGTTCAGTGCCTCAGACACACATCCCTCCTTCCTCATTTTCTGTAATTCCCAGGGAACACTAGTCAGCACAAGTGAGCGAGCTAATGCGTCCTGACCTGCCTCACCTGAGACTCAACTTCTCCGCTGGGCAATCCCAGTATTTTAGAACGAGAAAAGGTAGTTAGTTTCTCCTCATTTCGAAAACTTTGGGATTTCCTGCTTTACTTTCTAATCTTGCTGTCATATTAGAACTTGTGATGCCACAAGATCAAGTAGGAGATTCTTCTCCTAATGACTATAACTAATCTTCACTGCAAAAGGCAAGTGGCTTCTTAAATCTAACACCGTAACAGGCAGGCGATTATAAGTCATAGAAATGTAACTCAAAGACGTGTAAGTCATAAAAGTGTAAGTCATATTTATACAGTCCAAGATGGGGATCTCAATCACAAAAACATCAGAGACATGCATGATGAAAGGAACAGCTTATTAAAGGGATA